GTTTAGATTGGATATTAGGAAAAATTTCTTCACCGAAAGGGTTGTCAAGCATTGGAACAGGCTGCCCAGGGAAGTGGCTAAGTCACCAATCCTGGAAGTATTTAAAAGACGTGTAGATGCGGCACTTCGGGACATGGTTTAATGGTGAACTTGGCAGTGTTAGGTTAATGGTTGGACTCGATAATCTTAAGGGTCTTTTCCAATCTAAATGATTCTATGATTCTAAGTTTCTTTAACCGCCTTTTCTTCATAAAGACAGAACTTCCTGACTGTTGACCCTGCCTATAAAAAGTCAAGCAACAAGGCCCAGTGTTTTTGATAAAGATTTTGAAGCAAAAATACACACAGATTTCAAATGGGAACTCTGTGCAGACCAGTGCACTTCCCATTTTCGGAGGAATCAGACGTAGAAACCAATGATGCTGGTCTAGCATATCAGAGGGATTTGTACATTCAACCAAGGAAAGAAACCAAACCCTGTCATCCAATACCACATCCAGAAGGGTGACCTTTTCACCAGATTAAAATAATTTTGCAGACACTGCAATGAATGGGAGTACTTGACCACTTACTAAAACCATTATCTAGTAAGAAAATCCGTCACAAAAGGTTATTGCGTTCTCAGACACCATGCCATCAACACCAGCATCTTCAGACATAAGAATGTGAGCTCCCATCTGGCAGGTGCCGTCTGGAGCCCTGGGAATCATATCCAATTGTCTCACCATGCTAATAAATCCCACAGCACTTTACAAGGAAGAAAAGCACTGTTCCTGCCTGCACGGGGGTGGAATTGCAGGCTTTTTCTCTGGGACAAGTGCTAAAATTTTGTTTGGCATTAAAAAAAGAAAAAATTAACTTAAACCATCTATCATTTATTTGAAATGAGAGCCCAGAGTACTTTGATAGGAGTCCCTGAAAGGGATTTTGGGAGATGGAAGTTCTCCATTTGAACTTCAAAATTACCTGTTACCCAAGCTGACAGCTGGGATTGTCCCAACAGGAAGGAGCAGGAGCAAAGCTCAAAGCTTCTGCAGCTCTTTCCAGGTCCTGCTGAAATGAAAGTACCACCAAACACTTTTACGTCAGCTGCCGCACGCCCTCCCAAGTGTTGTCACAACTAAAGGCTGAGAGAACAGCAAAACACTATCAGGCAGAAACTGCCTGTGAACAGTATACATCTGAGACAGATAAACCCCACAACAGCTAGTCTGCATATTCGCTCTGCAAAACAAAGCACAACTCCTTGAGCTAGTGGAGACACAGCTTCATAAATCAACAGGGAAAAACGTGGCTCCATTCGACCCTGCAATGTTTGGTCCAGGAACCATACAGCCATATTTCCACGCTATTGCACTTCAGCTTGTAAGGTGCAGTAAGTCTGTGCAGTAAGACTCTTCATTTTGGGGGAGGCACCTCAGAAACAAATTTGGGGGCATCTGGCTTGGCTGCCAGTTCAGGTTTAGAGGCCTGTCAGCAGAGTAGATGTGTCTTAACATAAGCAGCTAAATTCAGAAGTTGAATAAAAGGTGGCATTTTGAGAAGAAATTCCAGAGAGAAGGACACCGACAGTGAGGGAAATGCTGAGGATGTTGGAGAAAGCTCTTCAAACAGGAAAGGAGGACAATCTTTTATAGTGCAAGAGCCTAATTCAGGCGAGTAAGATAAATAATAATTTGCAATTAAAGAAAAAAAAATGTACTTCTAGTTACATTTGAAATTATGGCAACATATGTTGACTCCTAAATGTACTATAATCTATTGTTAAGAAACTGCCAAGCAGTTTTAAAGAGAACTGGACCATAAATCTAGAATAATTACCATGAAGCATGTAGAATCCGTTTGTGCTGGACTGATAAAATTCACTTGCAATGCTGATAGCTTTTCTTGCCAGTACTATTTGTTTTATTCCAACAGCAACTTTAATTAATTTGCAATTAATTCAATACTAATAAACAAATTAGGAGTTTTAAAAAAAGCAAAATGTATTATTCTTTCCTAGCAAAGAAGTAGGAACTAGGCTGTGAGAGGATGATGCCATAACTGATCATGATTTGAATTTTGCAATAACCTAGCACTACCTGGTTACGTTTAACTCGAGTATTTTCTTCAGCCAGGGTCAGGAGTACTATTAGAGCAAGCAGAACTGGTTGGGGGTTTTTTTGTTTGGCTTTTTTTTCAGGACAACATCAACACAGAGTGATCACGAAATGACAGCCTGAAACCTATTTGTTTTGGTATAAGAAAGGACAATGACCAGAAACCTCTGCACAACTCACTAACTACAGAAGATATCTCATTTATTTAATCAGTTAATTTTAATAACATTTGTTAACTTTTTGCATATGTATGCAGCACATTCAGCATTTTACAGAACTCGTAACTTTAAAGTGTTGCATTTCATTACTATCAAAATGCAGTTTGACACAAAGTGAGGAGAAAAAAAAAAAGGAAACAAATACCAGTCAGCATTTCTACCGTCATAATGTAAAAAACTTGAAATCTAAGTAATTGTCTAACAAGCTGTAAAGTTGTTTAAATGTGAATACAGTGCACTTTTATGGATAGTCAGAAGGAAGAACCAAATATAATGTAAAAGTTGTATCTAGTTGCAAATCTCTATTTTAAGGGTTACAAATTAAGGAGAATCAACCTTTCAACAAAAATCTATGTCTACCACTTACAATAACTGATAATTTAAATCAACTGTTTAGCCTGTTATTGCTTCAAATCAGCAACTTCATATAAGCTTGATATCCACACTTGAAACAAAGTATAGAAACTGCGAAGTTTCAGACAGTAAAACACAAACTGTAGAGTAACAGTTTTAACTCTTTAAAAAAGCACTCCATACTGAAGAAGCAGGCGGGAGAACACAAGCTGCTTTGGAATTCTTGTTTAGCCGGCATATTTCTCAAGCTACTGGGTAAAAAACCAAGGGTTTCAGCATCCTACATACTAGGTGCATAAATACTCCTATTATAGGCCCCAAAGAATTAAGCCATTATTGTGGTTTAACCTGGCAGGCAGCTAAACACCACACAGCTGTTCGCTCACCGCCCCCCCCCAGTGGGATGGGGGAAGAGAATCGGAAAAAAGGTAAAACTCATGGGTTGAGATAAAGACAATTTAATAGGACAGAAAAGGAAGGGAAAATAATAAAAATGGTAAAAGAATATACAAAACAAGTGATGCACAATGCAATTGGTCACCACCTGCTGACTGATGCCCAGCAATTCCTGAGCAGTGGCCGCACCCCCGCCTAACTCCCCCGTTTTTTGTTCAGCATGACGTCATATGATATGGAGTATCCCTTTGGTCAGCTGGGGTCAGCTGTCCTGGCTGTGTCCCCTCCCAGCTTCTTGCACACCTCCAGCCTCCTCACTGGCAGGGCAGTATGAGAAGCTGAAAGTCCTTGACTTAGTGTAAGCACTGCTCAGCAACAACTAAAACATCAGTGTGTTACCAACTTTGCTCTCATCCTGTATCTAAAACACAGCACTGTACCAGCTACTAGGAAAAAAATTAACTGTATCCCAGCCGAAACCAAGACAGCCATGAACTCTGTAGAAGACTTACACATATGACAAATTCAGGGTCATTTGTCTAAGGAACAGGCAAGAGAAACTAGCTAGGCTCTGAAATTATCATTACTTGGTGCAAGGGAACGCCCACACTAACAGGGATACCAGATTTTTCCTAGAGCCATAAATAGACAGCGACTGAATTCTGCCCAAACCCAATAATAAAAAATCTTGACAAGACAAAGCAGTTACACATAAAAGGGTAATTTAGCATCAGTTTAGCCACCCCAGTGTTTAACTATAATTAAGTGTTTTACAAGTTTTGATTCACAATGTAAATGGCTTTTGAAACTATGTGAGGACAAGTAGTTATAGTAATGATTTGTGAAACAGTATCAAAAGAACATCAAGCACAGACTAAATTCCTTCATCCGCTCCTCAGCACACCATACAAGGGTTTCCAGGAACACCGTCTTTTTTTAAGCTTCTAAGAAAACATAGCTGGGCAATTTAACTGTCTCACCTAGGGCACTGACAGTAGCTTATTACAGGATTTTTTTTTTTTAGTCAAAACTCTAAATTAAGGGGAATTCTGAAACAAGCTTGGCCATTGACATATAGAGGCACAGATCAAGGCAAACTATACCACGGTAGTCAAAACACAAATAGAAGAAGGTGTATAGATGAAAGCAAGTGAAAAAAGGAATGGCAACTGAAGGAAGAATGGAAAAAGGCAACTTTCCTCCTCCTCCTGAGTTCCCCACCCCTTACTTCTGCCCTTCTGAAGGCATTCTGCAAGCAGCTGATTATAGGACTCATTTTAAAATTCAATCTGAAATGGAAACAAAATCTTTTGTTTAAAGTATATCACTTGGTATCTTCAGTAAAATATTCTACTTTAAAGGCAGAGCTAATTCCATCTGAAACACTGCTAGTTACAGTATAGCCTTGCATTAAGACCTGAAATTAAAGCAAAGGCTGATACTGTCAACACATGTCAAATATTTCCTAGTACGTCTGCAGAGACCACTCGGCCTTGTGACCATACAACCATACCATAGCAGTACGGTTGCTATCTGTGACTTAAACAAGTACCCAAAGCACATTCATTTCACAGGCCCATCCCGACTGAAAAAAAGTATGCCTCAGGCATTGTTCACAAAAAAATACAAAGAATCAAAGCCTGGTATTTGTCTCGTATTGTGATTACAGAGTAACAATGGGGTCATATTAATTAATCAATCTACCCCCAAAAAACAACTTACAGTTAAATATATTATGAATTGAGAGCTTAACATATCAAAAGTTCAGAAATATCATACCGCTTCAAAAGAGTCACAGCCTATCAGTATAAAGGAAGAATATAAAACTATTTTATTGACCACTGTTCACCAGTATTTACAATAAAGTAAACAATATACAGTCTGATAACATTCAAATTACTACAAAGTTAGTTTTCGCCTGGTCTTCTTGGGACCAAGTGACCCCAAATACTAAAAAGAATGATTCTACAGGTTTAAAGGGCTAGGTTTGGGTAAAGAAGATACATGCACATCAATAGTATAGAAGACTACAAAACATCCGTGAGTTTGTTTAGACATTCATTATGATTCTGTAATAACTATGGAAGTTTATGAATGTTTTATAAAAGCTTTTACCTAATATGGAGGAAGTAGTAGTATCAAACGCTCTCTTGTGATAAATGAAACAAGTTGCAGAAAGCTTTTATTTACTTGCTGTTGATGCAAAACGTACTACTTCAAAAAAATATCAAATTTAATTCTTGTTAGAATGTATGCTTCTCACATTGCTAATAAATCAAATTTCAGGTTTTAATATTCATATATATAAAAAAGCAACGCAAACAATTATTGTGCTTCATCTTCTGGGCATGAATGCCAAGTTAGTCGCTCTTCATAAAAAGCGATTACGATCTGAGGACACTTCACGTTAGCTTCTTTGGCCAGGACCAGATCTGCCTCATCAGAGTCTTTCCTGGTGTAGAAGAGAGTGGGATTTAAGAAAATGCATGATCGTTAATTCAGTAAATTTAGCAGCTCTTGATAGGTCATAAGTTCTGAAAAGAATGTCAGCTAGAAATCAGTTTTCAGTATACCTTTCACTATAGCTACCAAGCATTTCCATTCTAATGGCAAGGTTTCACAGCTGTATCTTCCTTCCCTTCCCATGTTTTTTTCTGTTTGAAAGGAAAACGCTATTCAAAAGGGAACCATTTATACAGTTACCTACTGCAGTATGTAATGAAAGAAGTAAAACTTTACTAATTTTGTCTTTTAAAGCATAATCAAATCTTCAAAGTGAGACTTAAAAATCAATAGCATCAGTCTTAAGAGGTGGTACTTACATCCAAATTGTATTTACTGTTTATGCAAGTAACTTGCTATATTTCATACCGCTATTCTTGATACTGTCTTGGGGTAATAAAACAAACTTCCAGTCTGACATGCTTCAGATTCCATTTTAAAGTGTATGCTGCCTTTACAAGTCAGTTTTATGCATACATATTCATGTATATGTTTGTTGCCTACAATCATTTATGGAAAAACTAATCAACTGCAACTGAACTAAACAAAAAAGCACTTTTTTTTGTACGTTTCCTTTGTGTTTGATTTTGCCAATTATCACTACAGAAATTCAAATAGTCACGATCTGTATTTTGCAACTCTTCTAAGTTTCACATAAAATTTACAGAGAATTTGAAAAGGCAGAAGGGAGACAGAATCTTCCAAAGCACTAATGTTCAGCAGTCCAGGCACATCACATGACAAATCATTTCTCTGGAGACCACTCAGTTTGACTCCATTCAGAAAATTATGCCCTTCTCGAAGGCTGTGGAAAGCTATCATTCTTCTCATCCCAACACCGTAAGAAATCTGACCCCCAGCAAACGTTAATTCAATCTCTTGTATTCTCAACACTGGAAAAACAATTTAATTTTATCCTACTTGTTCACTAAGGAGACACAAGAAGTCTTCCGTCAACACTGTAGCTAAACGAAGCTGGTCTCCCTCTAGCCTCCCAACGATGCAAACTCCCCCCATCACTCTCCACTCTTACTAGTCCATAATGATAAACCTCTCCTTCATATTGTTTGTTCTCCAACTCAACCTCAGCTTCCTCCACTAGTTCCTTCCAATTCTCTATCCACTTGGTTGCATGCAGAACAGCTGGCACTTGGGTTGGTTAAAAGGTTGGCTATCCAGCAGCTGGCTTCTGCTTATTGAAACGTGTGAAGCTGGAGTTCTGCCTACTGTTCCCTCAGCAAGAACACCACCGAGATCCAGCTTTTCCGTACAAATAACAATTTTTCTGTATTTTATCAGAATTTACCTTTGAAATTTCTACTTCTGTAAAACTGAACCAATAGAACCTAGTTATTTTCATTTTGGAAGGAAGAGAGAATTAAGTGCTAACTGATCATACAAGCTTTGTTTTTCTAAGAATACAAGGTTAATAAGGAGATCACCAGCTGTCTTACTCCTGAAATGAAGTTGCCTTATTAGCCTAAGTGCAACTGCCTGCCCTCCCTCAATATAGACCAGAACTGTGGATGTAAGACTTACCATTTCATGAGGAACATAAGCTCTCCACTGCTATCCGTAGCCCCAATTATCCGCTCAGGATCAAGACCCCTTGCAAACCCTCTTGGTTTATCAACCTATTGAGTAAGTTAGAAGATTGTTATCTAGTTTTAAGATAAAATTCTGTTTCGGCATTAGAGCTAGATACATGCATTCTTGTGTGTGTGTATATATATGTGTATATCAGAACAAAAAACATAGCCTTACATAATTATAAAAGCTGTAATTACATATAATTGTTTGAGGAGTACATTTTTTTTTTTCCTGACTAATATTCAAGCCAAGTCATTCAGATGTAGATTAACAATGGAGGAATTTTACATCAATGTTTCTAGCATTTATTTCTGAAAACTCAATAGATGAAACAAGTGATCTAAAAATCCTTATAGTAGATAAACAAACAAGCATGGCCAGTAAAAGCAACAAAAGAGGCAAAGCAAAAATGCACTCCTGGAATTGGGAAAAACACATCCTTTTCAGCAAAACAACAGCCTTGGGTTGGCTTAAGCCAACCATGAAACTGCACCCTTGGGGAATACCTCAACTCTTCTCAGCTCACTGAGATCGTGCTGGTGGTAAGGAATATCACGACTATTTCCTGTATTAATTCCTCTAGTTTCACAATATCCTTTTTGAGACAGTGGCCACTACTGTACCAGATGAAGACACACAATTGACTTTATACAGAAACTAAAATATTCTTTGTATTGTTCATCAACTAGTCCTTTTGATGCCTTCCAACTTTTTTGACAGTAACCACACATCCAACAGCTGTCTTCAGTAAACCACTGACATTGCCAACCAGCTTCATTTCAAATTGCTAGTTTGAAAGTTTACAGAGAAAAATGTGAACTACTGAGCACATTATTATATGCGCGTTATTTTGTACTTATCAGCACTAAATTTGTCACATTGTTCGTTCATTTAAACTGTAGGAGAAACCCAGACCTTTAAGAAAAGGTAGGCTTTCTTCAGTCGCCCTTTCTACTCCCTCTCCACCATCATGTCTGGTCCTAATCTAACTACCTGGCCTCCACATTTTGCCATCTTGCCACTCACCTATTTAAAACCATATACTAAATATGAAAGCCAAAACAGAACTTAATCTTTGTTCCATTCATGAACCTTTTGCTCTAATACAAACTAACCACTTAATATCACTCGTAAATAACTCTTATACCAGTCTTACTTTCAATTATTCAGTAAGCATCATGGGACAATGCAAGAACTTTTAGTCATCATGTCAATCAATGATTTTTTACCCACCATTTGGGTAGTCTCATTAACCACCATGAATGACTACCCTTTTCAAACCACAGTTCCAGGTGTTGTGTGATTTTTACAGTTTTAAACCCATGTTTGGTCTCATTCTCAAAGTCACAACAGGATTTTGGGAGGGATGGGGATGGAGCGGTAGGGAAGAGACACAGGAAAAACAAAGCTTAGCACATGAACATATACTTACAGAATCACGCTTTTTCTTTGATTTACTATCATCAGATTCACTATCTGACAAAGATTTTCTTTTGGCACCATCTGTTTTTTCTTTACCAGCTTTCTGAGAGTTCAGAAAAGCTTCGATTAGCTCTGGACAATCTAAGTTTTCTTCAGGTTCCCATGTGTTGTCAGCACTGAAACATACACACATTTATGTAAAACTAGGAAAAGAAGAAAAACGTAAAACTAGCCACATGGCTCACCTTAAGCAAGTTAATCTTTTTCTCATTATGTAAGGCAGGTTTCTTAAACCTAAGGATGCTTACCTTGCCGTCTTTAGTAACCTTCATGTACTGCATTTGATTACTGAAAGAAGTATGCTCTGCTACTGTTGAAAAACAATGTTCTTAAACTGGAGATACAAAATAAGCAGCTCTATTAACTCCTATGATCTGGGTGGGATCACAGGAGTTAAAACAAGCAATCCCCACTCTACCAAAACCTACCTGTCCGTTTAAACTGACTCCCTTCCCTGGTTCCTCTAAAGACTGTCCATGCAAACCAACTGTATGATGTGAGCACTAAGAGTTACAGAGAACAGAATGTACACAACACTCACTACAAACAGTGTAAGTATATATGTCTAAGCTTCTGTTCACGAGGAATGCTCTCAAAAGTTGTCTCACAGCACTGAGATCAACTATACCTAGAACTATCTCCCTCCTGCAGTTGACTACAGGAGGGAACAAAGGTTCCACGTCCAGAGCTGCACACTGCAAATGTTCCAGTGAGTGTATTTTGTTAACTAAAATTTTAAGAAGTCCATGAATATTCCCTACAACAACTAAGTACCTAATCAGGAGTCCTCATGCACAAATACTGCCACAGCGCTACTGCACAAGCAGGATGCCTACAAATTATTTTCAGTTACTAAAACATATTTTTACAACTTCAAATCAGACCCTCGAATACTAAATACATTATGTTTTGTGTTTATGCACTTATCACTACACAAATTTCAGGTGCTAGAATGCAGAATGTTGCAATGCAATCACTTTGGGAGGTATGCAACAATAACATGACTGCGTATGTAACTACTTATGTTCAAATGTTAGGTGCATTACCTTTTTTCAGCTAGTAAAGTAGTCTGCCAGAAAGTGTCATGGGAGTGAGAGAGGAGGCACAACTATGTGCCTTCTTTAACAATCAACTTTTTAAGTCCACTGTAAGGTTTTGTTGTGCTTCTATAAGTCCTGGGAAAGAGACTCCAAAGATACCTTTCGGGTATGCCTAATGAAGGCAACCATGCCACAGAATTCCTTATGCAAATTCATCTAATTTGAGAGCAGTTCAGAAAAGTGACTAATAAGCAAACTATCTGCTTCAAATTCATCGCTTCAGAGCTGCCTACAGTTCAAATCCCTGCAAAATTTCTTACTCAGAAGTAACATTCATTCCACCACATACGTAACAACTGTCAGTCTAGCTTACCTTGATAGATACTGACACAAGCTAAATCAAAGAACAGTGGTAAAAGAACGATCACTAAGGACTTGGTAAAAGTCTTGGAACGTTTTATGTAGCACAAACACTAAGCTACGTATCTTCTGTTTTATTTTCATACTTGACTGCCCCGCTTGAATATGCATTTATGGATGTCCTTCCCTTGAAGTTCTTTAAAATGTATCCCCATCATCCAACCCCCTCTCTGCATAGTTATTTCAAATAAATGGTATTTAGCATTCTATCAGAAAAAAATAATAGGTAATGCCTTACTCTGTAAATCCTTTCCACTTCAAGTAGTATTCCACCTTTCCATTTACAACACGTCTGTCCAGGACTTTCTCCACAACAAATTCTTCAGGCTCTGCCTCTTCAACTTTTTTACCTTTGCCATTCTGTTTCTTTCCCATTTTGTGCTACAAAAGAAATTCAGAATGACATTATTCATTCTTTTGCTTTACACAGTTACTTCACTGGCCAAATCCAACTTCGCTCAGTAAACAGCAAAGAATCATGTACTTATTCACACTAAAGCCAGAAGCTCAGACTCCTTTTACGTTAGTGCATGTGGTCAGGTAACCTGAGCAAGACATGTTAAAGTTTTGGGTTTTTTCGGTTGCTTAATGAGATACCCAACACCAGTTTTTAAAAAGGTGAAATATTTTTGTCCATACACTCAGTGCCTCCACTCCCCTTATAAATTTAATTCTCAGTGCTACATGCTCAAAAATTTATGAAGCTTCTAAGAGTTAACTCTATGCCTGTGAAAAGGCAGAGGGCACGAAACAGCATAAGGCAGAAGTAAAGAAAAGTAATAAGGGAACTGTGAAAATGCATAAAATAGAAAAGGGATGCTACACAAAAAAAGGTGGTTACTACCTTTTCCAAAAAAAAAAGGAGAAGCTGATGGGAGCAAAGTTTATGATGTATTGCTACAATAAGCAAAATACTCAACAGTAACCTGTAACTATTGAACAGGATGCATGCTAGGAGCATTCCATTATTGCAGTCCCTTCTCATTATTCTTAGCCACGCACCGATGTAACTTACATTCAAACAGATGTCACAAAGGTGCAAAAATTTAAGACAGCTACGCTTAAGTGCAGCACTTAACACGTAAATGAAATTTTGCGAACTTAAAAAACTTTAAAAGTGTTTTAAGTTTACATTCGATACTTCAAATAGTATTCTTTAAGTTCTTAAAATAAATATTACATCCACATCATCCTCAAGGCATTCCCAGTTTAATAAGGCACTATTAAATAGTAATAGAAGGACACATTTCAGAATTTCCTTGTTTGTAATCTTAAAAAGGCCGGAACAAGCCTATCATGTTGTCATATCACATTTCTGGAGCACTAGCAGACCCAAAGCAGTTTGCTTGCCATTTTGGACCGCACCTTGTAAGGAAATTGTTGAAGTGGCAGCCATAAACTAATGGGAGCAGTATTAAGCTCCTAAAACATATAGTCATGCAGCACCCTAAATCAAAGCGGACAGAACTAATTCCTCACTAATGCACTTCCTATAGAACAGAAAACAGACAAGCAAAAATCACAGAGCACCTCTATTTGCTTGATGGCCTTTCTCTAGTCCTCTCTAGAATTAACACGTGTTAGTTTGAGAACATTGCGAAGCAATTTTGAAATTGTCAAATTTTTAGACTTTGTAGAATTTTCTCTTGATGTGGTAAAAAAAAAAAAAAGTTAGACACAAGAAAAACTGTCATCTTTTTGTAAACTGAAGATTTGAAGCCAATTCTTTCTTTCCAAAGCCCTGTCTTTGTGCCCCTTGTTTTTCATAATTAATTTTCCCCTCCCTCCCCAAAACAGCTTTACTCTGGTTAGCAACCCATAAATTGAAGGTGCAAACAATGAAGACCAGGAAAAGTTTCAAGTTTCTCTTTCAAACAGCAAGTTTCTGTATATGATTATATCTCATGTGACATTTGTTTTGATTTGGAAGCATAGAACAGAGATTATCTAAAACGGAGCATTTATTTCCAATTAGATTTTAACTGCCAGCATATCCCAGGTGTATTTTGACCACAGCATTCATGTCTGAAAAGTGTCAACTTAAGCACACTGGCTTTTTTTGCCTCCACAGGAAAAAGAATGTAAGACTGAAATTGAAGGAAAATAAAAACATTAAGATGTCCAACTCTTCTATGAAGGCAGCTTCTTTCAAGAAATGGAAGTGTGAAAAAGAGAAACAGGTAGAGATGAGGAAAACGAACAAACAAAAAAGAAGCAGAGGGGGGGGAAAAACCAAAAGACACAGACTCACTATACCATAGTAATAACATTATAATTACTGGTGATGAGGCAAGCAGGCTACAAGTGGGGAACATCTCCATCTGTGTTCTCCGTTGGACTAAAATTCTTTGATTCAATGGAAGATTGTTTTCTGGTACTCTTTTCGGCTTCACTAATTCTTGTCACTTAAAGATAAACGTTTTGGATTTCTGTATTAAAGCAACAATTTTTTTTTTACTTTATAAGACTTAAGTATCTATATAATCTTCCACAGAAGAACATGAACATCATGGGGGTCTGTATTTTTTTCTTGAAGTGCAGTAAGAAATAATAAAATCAAGAGTATGTTGCTTTTTGTTTTAATTAGGTCTCATGTGCATCAGCACTGCTTTCCAAACTCTTGAGCCTTTCCAACCTATTAAAACAATACTTGATTGCAGAGCCTGCAGAAATGCCGAACATTTGTTAAAAACCTGTCCATTCTGAGATTACACAAGCCAAGGTAAATCTTGGCCCACAAGTGAATGTGGTACCTGACTGAAGTTAAAGGGTACTACATGTCCACTAGACCCCTGAAGCTCCCTTCTCTAGGGTTGCACGTTGTAAGCTGTAACTTGGGCATTCGACCACTGAATGCTCATCTATGGCTCATTTCCCTTTCTGCATTCAGAAGTCACATATGACAGATGCAGATGCTCTCCAGTGGATAATCACTCTTTCTTTGAGGGGCAAGATTAAAACGCTGATGTGACACTGTGGTGAAGGGTTTTAACATACAAGAGGTAACAAAATTGGAATTACAGTTTCAGAGCTACACTATCCCTTAATACATTTAGGTTTTGCATGCAAATACATAATGAAGCAGAATTAGTTATGGTTCCCATGGGAACCATAACTGATTTTCCTGACCTGTGCAGCAAAATTCTCAACAACATCAAAAGATTAAAAATACTGCATTCACAGATTCTTTCTGTGTCCTGAGGCACCCCCTCCCCAGGCTGGCTAACTCCTTCTCTCACTCAAATTAGGGAAAAGTGGGCAATCAATTACTAACTGAAAGTTCAGACATTCACCTTGCTGAAATCTTTTAATATAGTTTGTTATCGTACAATATAAAGGAAGCACTCCATTGCACTTCTAAGCCAGGAGTTAATACAAGTTTTTAATGTATCTCGATCTGGGTCAACCAGTAATCATTTCAGTAAATTTAAGAACAGGCCTTCTGAGTACATTATAAATCAGTTGTTCCGCTATCCAAATTTTTAATTGTACACGTGTATTTCTGCTTACTTCCCCGCCTCAACCTCAGAAGCATCTCACGCTATACTTCTTCAGTTCTGTCTTTCACAAAACTATGTATCATTATTAGTTGAATGGTAACCAGCAACCAACTGCCCTTAGAAGTCCATATTTTAATGTCAAGCAAAGCTTTACAGGACTTGAGATCCATGAATGCATCATTAAAATGGTCCAGGAGGGGTTGACATCTGATAATCTCTGCTCCTATGAAATTCAAAGAAACTGTTATTTGTTAAAAATCATTTCAAAAGGCATCTTAACTACGCCACATCATTTCCCAATAATACTATTTTTCATCTGTAAAGACTGCCTTTTCTCAGACAATTAGTTTTCCCCAAATACACTGGGAGAAATTAAATGAATACATGACTTGGATTTTTTTTTTTACATATATAATGAATTACATGGTGTGCTGAAAGGAGGCTAAAAAAATCCTTAGTGTTTTCTACTATAGTACACATGAAATAGTGCAGAGTCCTTTAATTTTTTTTTTCCCAACAAGTCTCTTTAGAAATGGCAGATTTATTAAAGCCAAAGACAATGTCCTTTCTAGTAGCCTTACTTTCTGGATCTGAAATTTTGGTCAGAATAATGCTGGGGAGGGGAGATGTGGATGTATCTTTTAAATGGAGATGCCAAGTTATAAGTTTGAAGAAAAATATGTTGATTAAATCCTTATATACTTTAGGTGTGCATGAACTTACCAATGTAGTTTTATTGGAGGCCATTTTTATTGCAGACTTGCAGAGCTTTTACTAGAAAAATGCATGACAATTAAAAGGAAGTTTACATTACTCAAAGAAAGGCATCCCAATACAAGCATGGTCCTTGTTCCAACCCCCATGTATTCACTGCATATAACATTTCTAATACGGATTAAATCCAGAACAAAAAGTAGGTTACTACTTTGTCCGGCATAACCCAGTAACGCACCATTATGCTAGCCAGGATAAATGACACTGACAAAGTGGTATATAGGGTTGAAAAAAGGTTTTTCCCAAGGCCTTCTAAGGCACAGAGGTGCTTCTAGGGAAAAGGGGGAGGACCATCAGGGATGCTTATTTCCTTAAACCCAATAGAACAAGAGTTCAGATTCTAGCAGTTAATCGAGATATACCTAGGTATATTAACTGCGAATCTGGTGGGGAGCAGCTACATATCTGCGGTGTAATAATGAGTCACCCATTACTCTTACATCATAGTAAATGTTTATAAACAACAAATATTTATCTTAACGCAACTATAACGTTGCCTTCCGATTCTCAAGTTTGCAAGAGTTAAGGTCCTAGAGCAATATTAACTCAGCTAAGCTGTACATACTACATATTTAACCTATGCAAGTGATGTTGAACACAATCCATCCCCTTTTCCATGTCATTTCTCATACTGGCCACCTCCTTAGACATGTATTGTCCCCGCCCCTGCAAACTATAGAACTGTTAGAATTCCCCATACGCCTGGGCAAGGCAAAAGAGAAAGTCCTTCAAGGCCAGAAAACCTCCCGGACTCAGCAATCCCACCCAATTCTCCCCTGAGACGGGAGGTGGATTTTGGCAGTCCCATAGGCGGTGGGGTAGGTGAGGTGGAAGGAGGGCAGGGACCAGGGCCCTAGCGCAGAGGGGCTTGTCTTGTCCCCGTTTCAAAGGCAGGAGGAAGGGGAAAAGAAACAACAGTAACAGTAATAATAATAAAAAACCTGTTCCACCCCCACCAGAAAATAAAGGCAGCCCTGCGGAGGCCTGCTGGGGGAGGCTGCGCCTCGGGCCTGTGGTGGGCGCACGTGAGGCCGGCGGGGACGCCCCGGGGGAGCTAACAGGACTGCCCC